AAAAGCTGCTTCTTTATTCTTCCTGGAAGCACACTGATGGCAGTGTGATGATCACTTGCGGACGCTAAACTGAGCCAATTAGGCACTTGGCTTGAGAAGCTTTACAGTTTCCCAAGTGAAATCGGGGTCATCACGGCCGAAATGACCGTAAGCAGCTGTCTTCTGGTATCTAAAGTTTCCTCCTCTCTTCAAGTCGAGATTGATTGCCATCATTCCAGGTCTAAAATCAAAATTCTCCTTGATTAGAGCAAGGATATCTTTATCTGGGATCTTCCCTGTTTTGTAGCTGTCTACAAACACGGACAGAGGTTCTGCTACTCCAATTGCATAAGAAACCTGCACGATACAGCGGCGAGCTAGCCCCGATGCAACTACGCTCTTTGCTGCTTGTCTAACAATGTATGCGCCGCTTCTGTCTACCTTGGTTGGATCCTTCCCTGAGAAGGCACCACCACCATGAGCACCCCACCCTCCATAAGTATCAATGATTATCTTCCTTCCAGTCAGTCCTGCATCGCCATGGGGTCCTCCAATGACGAACCGACCAGATGGATTGAGATGGAAGATAGTCTTGTCATCAAGATACTTCGCTGGAATGACTGGTTTAATGACATGTTCTTTGAGATCCTTAGCAATCTGCTCGTTTTTTACGCTCTCATCATGCTGGGTTGAGATTAGAACGGTATGGACCCTGATAGGGACCATGGCTCCATTCTCATTCTTGTACTCGACAGTCACCTGCGTCTTACCGTCGGGTCGAAGCCATGGGCAGGTTTGGTTCTTTCTGACCTCAGTGAGCTTGGCACCAAGTTTTGTCGCAAGGACATGGGTCAGTGGCATGAGCTCTGGTGTTTCATCTGTGGCATAACCGAACATGTGGCCTTGATCTCCAGCTCCAATTTCCTCAGGTTTCTTAGTCATGTGTCCATGGACTCCTTGGGCAATATCAGGGCTCTGTTGTTCAATATTCACCAGGACCTTGCAGTTGTCAGCATCAAGACCGACGTCAGCAGAGACGAATCCAATTCCTCTGCAAGTGTCTCGAACTATTTTCTCGTAATTGACTGTAGCCTTGGTTGTGATCTCACCGAATACCATCACCATGTTGGTTTTGGTACAGGTCTCACAAGCGACCTTGCTCTCAGGATCTTGTTCAAGACATGCATCAAGGATAGCATCTGAAACTTGGTCGCAAAGCTTGTCGGGATGGCCCTCATTGACAGACTCGGAAGTGAAGAGGAAGGAATCCATTATAAACTGGTGTACAAATATTGCCGCAAAGTTGGTTTTCTATGATAAATGGAATCAACATTATATTGAAAGAAACACAACAGAAACAAGAAAATGCAACAACTTCATATGCGAGATCTACAAGAAAGCAAGCAGCCATAAATCAATCTATTCTTGACATAAATTTTTCCGTTCTATTTCACACATTCTCAGTACACAGACGCGATATCTTAACAAACCATTATACTAGATAAACTTCAGTTCATAAAAGATGGCAAAGAGGGAGACAAATCAAATCCTCGGTCCTAAAATCTGCAAGATGCAATCAAAGATCCTAACAAAAGATGCAATCCGAGATTCAAAATTCAGCACAAAATATAGAACCAGAGAACAGAAATACCCCGTAACAACAATACAACGAGAGAAGAAATGAAATGGCAAGAACAAATCCGAGTTACATCGAGAGAGAGTTAAAAAGCAAAATGAGATTGCAGGGGCAGAAAAGAAATGAAGAACAATGGCGGATTCGGAATGAGATGCAGAATTTGTTTGAATTGCAAACAGAAATGATAAAATACGGACCTGAATTGAAGTAAATTCCAAGGCGTGGAGAAGATGGAAGAGGAGGAAATTGAAGGTGCGAGGGAGGAGGAAGATTTATAGATGGGGTTTGGAGAAATGGGAGGGCAGTTCAGTTCTGTTCTGTTCTTGCGACTCGCTCTTCTGCGTCTCCCTCGCAATTTTCGCGGCCTTTTCAACTGCCTCATCGCTTGTCGTTCACTCTGCTCAACCACCTTAAATCTTTATGTCCAAGAAAATAATTCAATTTTTAAAATGCCTTTTTTTTTCTTTTAATAAATGTAAAATAGAATAGGTTACCTCTTTCTTTTTGTTCAATAAATATTAGCTAACTTTAATTTATTTACTTTTGGATGGATAACCCAAAAATAGAAAGCTTTCAAATGGTACATGATGCAGTGAGAAATGACTTTTTAGTATCAATAGTTCAACCAGTCAATCTATATATTCTAATAAAAATGCAGAAGGTTTAACAATTGAAATTGTTTTTTTTTAAATAAAATAATTTTAATTTTAGGGAACATTAAGACTTGAACTTACAACATAGAAATATTGACTTGAACTTGAAATTGTTTGTTTACTAGTGACTATTATTCAAGGTTAAAATATTGATCTTTATTATAAAACCTTACACTTTTTGTAGTACAACACGTGGGAGTTGAGATTTAGACTCACGACCTTTTGATTGAAAATAGATGTTTTAATCAATTTGACGCATCAAATCTCACACTTTACGAATATATTTTGATTCAAAAAGTCAAAAGTTTAACTTTTTATTTGTTTAGCAGTGACTATTATATCTTTAATATAATATCTTACAGAATTTTTTTAGTACAAAATATGGAATAGAGTTTTGAACTCACAATCTCTCGGTGGAAGATAGATATCTTAACCAATTAAGCTTTACGTTTTACGAATGTATTGATGAGATAATGGGATACATTGAAACTCCAACAAACTATTGAGCTTTTTTTTTTTTTTTCTTGGGTGAACTAGTTTAGGTGGAGTTGGTGAGATAAAGTACACTGAATTTTGTGGATGGCAGGTCAAATAATGTAAGTTCAACTATCAAATTGGTCCACGCATCTAAAACATCAAAAGTTGGAGTAAAACTTCATGCAAGCTTCACTTTATTGGTTGTTGAACTTTTTGGGTCCAAATTAAAATTTTTGCAAATAAAATGGCACCACAGTTAAAACATTTCAATTTTAGAAAAGCTGAAAGTTCTGATCTTTACCTGTATTTGTGACATGATATTCTAAAAAGAAACCAAAACTGTCTTTAAAGTATAAACCAACAGTTTCTTTTTAAATAGATATTAACACTTCACATTTAAACTAGTTGTCTCAACCTAACAATTCAATTAGAAAGCAATATTAAGAGAAAGAAAGGGAGCAGCTAGCAAATGAGAAGCCCCTACATAAATCTGTAAAGATATGTGAAGAATAATGAATAAACTGCCAACAGGAAAGGTTATTACTTCAAATCATTGCTCTTATTATTTCCAAGTAATGCAGCCATATCCACTTTTCATGTATATCTGAAGAAAACGCAGTAATATGAAGTTTTCGTCATTCTTTCCAACAATCGTAGGTCGAGTGACGAAAGAAGTTTTCATACTGAAAAATTCAGAGCTATAACCTATATATGGTGCTACACATGGATAAGCTATGGTTTAGTAACCGAGTCCAAGTTGAAGTCCAAGTGCAGCATGGATGAGAAATAGTGTCATGATTCCACTACCCAAAATCCCATGAACATTCCTCAGTCCAGGATTATCCTACACATGAAGATCACAATAAGAGGACAAGAAGTAGGGATATGAAGGTCAAGCGTTGACCATTACCTCAAAAAGTGAGGGCAGAAGCGTTTGTACAGTCAAGAGCGCGAGGCCAATGAACCCCGTTACAGCATGTGGACTGGAAATAAGACGAAAGCAAAGTTGAGCATTTCCTAAATTAGAAAGTAACCATTTGCCCGAGCTGAATTTTGGTCCTTGAACTTTATAGTAGTTTTTAGTCTATAAACTAGTCGTTGTTTCAAGTTCATACTTTGTTAATAAGCCTTCATTGAAGTACTTCATATGAACTGTTAAAAACTGAGACATTTAGGCACACTGTTACCTCAATAATTTGTTAATAGAAACAATCAATTTGGGGTAGGAGTTAAAGTTGATAAAGTAGTTCAGAAACAAAAATGGGAATTGGCTTTTGGAAGATCAAATGTATGTCCATCCAAATAATTCTAAAAAAAGAGGGTTAGACAAGCAAAAAAAAAAACTGGTTGTAAGCAACATAAGGTTTTCCACCCTTTTATAGAGCTTGCATTCTTCACACCCTTTAATCAGGAGGGGGGAGGGAAATTGGTTTATCAATGTACCTCTCAAATATAGGTTTGTCTGATGTAAGTAGAGAAGTGATTCCACCCGTTGCTCCAAGAGCAAAAAAGAAAAACATTCCACCTAGAAGCTTTGGATGCAAGTCCTTGGCTTTGGCCTTCTCCTCCTGCATCAATTGAAATATAAGTTGTCATTCAATTGCAAAAGGTGAATTCTTCGTAAGTGCTGAAAAAAGTTGATACTCTTACCACATCATCAGAGTAACGGATTCTAAAGCCTAGGTATGTTCCATAACCACCCATAGCGAAGAGCACTACCGCCTAATTAGGACACAACCCAAGTTAGAAGGTTATCATAACAGTAATCTGGATCCAACCTATTACTAACATACATAAGTAGCAAGACAAAAAGAACTTACCATGTTGCCTGGATGACCCCAATGCACTAGCCAATCAGGAAGATTCCAAGATTTAACAAGCTCAACGAAAGGGCCAAAGAGAGACCTCACAGTTCCAGCTGTCATTTGGATATTCAAGTTCATGACAAGTGTGCAAAGATTGCATCGAAAAAGTGAAAATATTTTCCATTTGTGCTTTCATGTGTATGAGATAAGAAACATTATACTATAGTTTTATATCATTAACACATGTACAAGAGGAAGGACAGGACGATATGTATTTTTTCAAAAGAGGATAACTCTTCAATGAGCAAAAACCAAATAGGAGCTAACTGATACATTCTTTGGCTGCTAGAAAATCTTAACCCTATTCCAAACGTCTCAGTGGTTTCTTTTCTTATTTTTAAATATTATTCAATCAGAATGGGATTAGTCCACTAAATGGACTTGGGGTCTTGTTTTTTCTACTTAGAAATAGTCTATCCACTCTCAAAGAGGCCAACAAATGTGAATAAACAGGGTTGAGAAAATAGCAGAATCCATTCAAAATTAGAATTATTCCCGAATCGAAGCATCATGCTTGCTTTTTTAGGATAGTGCATGAAATTCTTCGTGGCAAACACAAGTTATAGAGATTCAATCGTACGGACCATCATAAGCGTATGTGTGTAAAAAAGACCAAGCCTGAAGTGCATAAATTCTGTACCTCATTAGTAAATAGATTCTGCATTTTTAGGCACAGAGAAGTTAATGGATTAACATTTGTATTCTTGAGCTTTTTGGTTCGGTATAATGTGCCTTGAAGGACAAAGAATAGATCAAGAAGCTCGATTCACTTATCTCGTACGATTTGTCTTGAGTTTGTGTGAGCATGAAAACAAGTTTCTTCGCATCACTCTTGTTAATTCAGAGCCACAACAAATTATTCTTTCGTAATCCCACTAACACATCGACAGCAGTTTCAGGTAAAGTAAATTACAAACCAAGGATCTAAGTTCAAGACAACATTAAACACTCGAGAGCAGCAGATTCCACACAATAAAGCCATAAGTGAGTACCTCCAGGAAGAGCAGCAACGAACAGTAAAGGAAAAGGCGCGAGAGAGTACAAAAGCGTCTCGCTCGCCTCCTTCATTTCCACCGATTCGCCGAAGTCGTCGTCCTGAGAAGACGGATTGAGGCGAGCTTTTGTTGTTCCAGTGACAGGGGAAGGCAAAGAGAAGCAGGAATTGCGGGGAAATTTGGGAAGATTTGGCAAAGAAATGGGGAATGAAGAAGTGGAAGGTAATGGCAATGGTGGTGGTACCTTGGATAAACACATATAAGAAGCTCCTCCGGTAAGCGTAGCCATGGATGGAGAGCGATAAGGAAGTTCTGGAGTTCAGAGAGTGAGGAGTGTGGCTTCCACAGAGACAGGGATTGGTTTTGAATCGTGAGAGAGAAAATGATTTGATAGAGGAAGAAAAAAGTGCAGAAAATGGAGGGAAAGGTCCAGAAAGAGACACGCTGATCCTACTGAACATTCTACGATATGGCCCCACCATATTTTTTTTTTTGAAAAATACTTACTATTTTCTTAGTACAACCTATACAATTCGAGATTCAAATTTGATAGACTAATTAAACTATGTACTCAAAAGTTTATTTTAAATTCTTTATCTTGTTCTTTTAATACAATAATTTTTTTATCTTATTTAGAATGAGAATGGTTTAAAATAAAATAAAATAAATTTCTTTGTCGGGATGTTGGTTGGAAATGAAAAAATAAAAATATCTCAATTTAAATTAGAAATTAAAATAGGATAAAGTTAAATAGGATCATTTATTTTAAAATTATATGAAATCCTGCGAAATCCCAAAATTTAATTCTGAAATATTTCAAAATCCGAAATACCAAACACGAGAGAAATAACAAAAAATAATAATAATAATAAATGGTCAATTTTTGTCAAGCTTCAAGATAGATCACGGCTAAAGTATTTTCCTATTTCTGCTGCGATTTTTATTTTTTATATTTTTTAAATTAATTTTGTAACCTAAATACCATATCTTTACTTTCTATCCATGTCAAAATTTCTTAGCTCATGTTCATTTAAGTCGATATGTAGGTTTTTTTGCTATTAAAAAAAAAAAGATATGTCGGTTTTAATTTCTGAATTTTTTAGAGGGTGGGAATCTGATTAATTTATTTTCATTCTTTATCTCAATTTTAACCCACTCACCAAATTTCTTGAAATAAATATCTAAGAACATATATGCTTATGTGATTCTCTCATAATTTTATCTTCGTATATTTGTGCTTCAAGAGACAATATCATAACCAATCTAAGATTAATTTAACTCAACTGGTTAAGATATATATATTTGTGCTTCAAGAGACAATATCATAATCAACCTAAGGTTAACTTAACTCAACTGATTAAGATATATATATCCGACCAAAAAATCATGTTCAAACTCTACCTCTACATGTTGTTGAACTAAGGAAAAAAAAGACAATCCCATGATTCTCTCTATTTCACTATTTTTTACATATTGCATCCTAAATAACGATATGTAAAAATTTTAAATCATATGCTATGATTTTTAAAATGTAATTAATTTGTGAAATTTACAAATCATATTCGTTTATTAAATTTTACTTCCAATTTACAATGTTTTTCTGTACCAATTTCGTTTGAATATGACTTGTAGATTTTGTAAACTGATATTGATATATAAACAAATTTTTAAAACATGGCAAAATTTGCAAACCATAGAGAGGTAGTTTACAATTACTTTACTTTCAAAAGTAGATAAAATTAGTTTAGCATTGTAGTCTATTACTCCTTCAAAAACTATATCATATTATCCGTAAAAATAAAAAATAGAAAAACCACTGTTTTTAGAGACAGTTAGTTTTTATTTTTATTATTATTATTTTTTTTTTTTTGAAAATCGAGACAGTTATGTTAAAATCAACACTTTTGAAAAATGGGAATTCAGAGTTATAAAATGGCTCAAAAGTGAATAGATCCAAGAGTTTTACATTAAATCAGGAGACAAAAAAATAATACTATTAAAAAAAAAGGCAGAAGCTAACCTTCAAAATTGGGAATCGAAGAACCTGGTCTCTAGCAGTGATTTCAAAATTGCTGCAGATGAAATCTACCCGTTTGGCTTCACAAACCACTCAATGTCAATGAAAGTAGCTGCTATATACAACCGCATAAAGGATTATATTACAAGTGAGCCCAGAAGAAAGCTTTCAATTCGCCTCGACTATTGGCCCTATACTAAATAACTACATACTAACTATAGCCTCTAAAAACAAGATTCATGTCGCCCATGTGTAAGAAGGTAGGACTTCGAGCTCGTTCCACGGGACCGTGCACGACTTCATGATAGTTCATCGTTGTGTCTGTAACTGGGGTTAAAATAATGAAAATGTCACTACATATTATCTGATGAATGCAGTTCTACATAGGCAAAGATCTTCAAACAAATAAACAAGATTACAAAAAACTTGGACAAAAGTAATGACCTTAATTACAAATGACTTTTAGAAAAGAAGCTCCATGGAGTAGCATACTGACAAGCTGCACCTCACTAAACAGTAAACCCATCGTGAAAACGACAACTACTCTAACGTAAGGCTCTAACTATACTACACCACAAGGCGTTTGCTTTCTTGATTAGGCACAAAATCAAGAATTAAAGACCCATATGAACTGAATATGAATTACATTTCATGTTTGGTAACTATTTCTTATTTCTTGTTCTCTGAAATTTTAAATTAAAAAAAATTTATATGAGAATTAATTTTTTAAATTAAATATTCAAATTTTGTATGTAATATTTAATATTTGATCTTAATTGTGCATCTTGTAAGTAAAAAAATGATCCATTCTATGTTTTAGCAAACACTAGAGAAAGAAACAAAGAACAAGAAACTTGATCGTGTTTTCAAAATTTCTACACAATTTTGAAAACATTTCTTAAAAATGAGAACAAATGCTTGTGTTTCTCCAAAATTGAAAACAAGAAATGTTACCGAACGGCCCTTAGAAACTGAAAAGGTAGAAAATCAAATACCTAAGGCGATAATGCCATCTTCCATCACTGTATGTGTCATCTTCCAACCCGGAGGATGTTGTTACTTATTGCGCCCATGGTTACAGACTCTCTGTGAGGATCAATCCTCCAGTGTCCATCAACCACAAATTTTATCTGCAACATGTTGCAAAGAGAAACTTAAAAAGGTTGCTTGTCAAACATTCTATGTTAGGGTAAAATAGAAAATAAAAAATGTCACCCAGGAAGGGTACCCTACATCTTCTGCAATGAGTTAATGAAAATTATGATGAATACTTCATGAAGGATTTTCACACCTCATAAACTCCAGGATAAAGCCACAACACTGTTGACCAGAGACTGGGTTTCCTGGAAAACATCGTACCAATGTCAGCTTATGTGTTCTGCAAGGGAAAATAAAGATGAAAATATTTTTGATGGGCAAGGGAAAACTTAATCACTAAAAGACAAATCTACCAGTTTAACTTTCCTCCTGGTTGTATTGGCAAATTAATAAGAGTTTACAAATGGTTTGCAACTTCACCCAAAAGTACCCTGAACTCAGTCAATAGGCAAGTAGCATTTGTCCGTTTCATAAACGTAAATAGGAATTCTAATGTTGGAAAAGTCACTCTTAGCATAAGCTTTCTCATAAAATTTTTATCTTTTGATACAAGAGTGRCTCAGCCAAATTTTCACTAGTGGTGGAAAACAGGCAAACCAAGTTAACTGTTTGAGGCAGACTGAAATATCACCCATACATGAATTAACCCTTTGGAGTCAACCAAGCCACCCCAACCCACCTACCTAGACCCGAACAACCAAGCCCGAGGAAGTAGGGGCAACTCATTTGGTGGCACCTTAAGGATTTGAACTTGGGGGTGTCAGAATTTGACACTCGAGAAAGCTAGTTAGAGAATCGAGAGCTAATGCTTTTAACTGATAAGACTTCAAAKAAATTGACAAGGGAAATCAAACTTTCAGAATCCTTTTTCTTGGTTTACTTCTTTTATGTTATAGCCTTTGATTTTAATTTTGAGGTCTAAATCAAATTGGAGTGAATTAGTTGAAGTACTTTAGAACTTRGAACCAATCTTAGATGATTGGAATCCTTTCTTGTCACTTATGCTAAGTTATGATGTCATTCACTTGCAATGGCACACTATCACAAACATCAATCTATGAAAATCAACTAAAGATGGAAAACCACTGAACTTTGAATTAATGGAGTCCACAACATTGGATGATGGATGTGGATCCATCTTAATCCTATGGTGCCAACCATTGAAGCTACCAGCCACCTCAACAATTTCTCCATCCCCACGATATTGGATATGAACCTGATAAATCATACACTAAGCTTCAGTCAGCAGGCATAAGGATCACAAAAAGCAAAATCTAAACARTAGTGTTGTATTTTGTTTGGCTGATATTCCCTTCTGTTTATAGAAGGTGCTGATATTTCAAAGAATAATCAACATATCAAAAGAACATTTTCAATGACTAATGCTAATGAATATTTTATCATTTAACTTTCCAGATTTTAATGTCCTGATTTTAAACTTAAGAAGAATTTTTGTGGCATGGCAGGCAATCCATTATTGGTTTCTCTTTGCCATTAAAAGGAAAAAAAAAAAAGGAAAGACAGAAGAAGAAAGTATTATGTACTGATTTTAAAGCATCCTACATAGTACCAAGATTCTTTGTCTGGACTTTAACATTACAACTAGAAAAGAAGCCAGATGGGTACCTCCTCCAATCCAGAAAGACTCTCTTCAGCAGCAAGTAACTCTGAATCTTTTTCTAAAATGAGTTTTTGAGCCTTGCTGATCTCTGTTTCAGCCTTGCTTTGCAAATCAGACAAAGCAAGCTGACAATGGAACATATAAATAGAAAATTTTGTATTTGGCCAACAAAGCTCTTAGTGAAAAAAATCAAGCATGGATGCARATAGATCAGTAGTTCAGCACAAGGTAAAATTAAAAACATTCTAGGTAAAGAAATCTCTTTCTTTTTTTTGTTTTTCTTTATATGAAGGTGGAAAAATCTCTTCCAATCTTGAATATGATCTGTGGATACCAAACAGTTCAATAAAATAACCAGAGGCAAAAAAGGGAAATTTGATATTAAGGAATCCTGAGAGCATAAGGTAAAGAATCCATGAACGTATTGCACCAATTTAATGATATAGAAAATGCAACAAAACATATCTTCCCTTACATGGTGGTTAGAGACAGAAATGAGATAAACATGGCTTAGGGAGACTGGTAAAAATGAKTTAACATTTAGGAGTAGAGCAATTATTTAAATTTTATCTAGCATGGCCGCATGGGTATTGTTCATTAGATTTTTCAATTTGCTAACCCTATGGACTCCTTAACTAATTACTGTGCTGAYCATTTAAGATGTTTTTTTTAATGCACAAATAGAATGGTAACTGCCTCATCTACTGTATGCGGAAATTGTATGAAAGAATTAAATGCAAATACATCAAATTTTGAAGACTTCACACTAAATTAACCTTGAATAAAAATTCATATACCTTGTCCTTCTCAATCTGTTCCTTCAGCTGAGACAGTTCCAACTCCTTCTGATGCTATAGACAGAAAAGAGATGGAATGAGAATAAGAAAGTCAAACTCAATAACAAATGTGCACAACTTTTTCTTTTTTTTGACACGAACAAATGTGCAGAACTTCATACATCAAATTTCAAATTCACCATTATGATATTTGAAGCAGATGAAATATTTTTTTAGAGGATCATTTTTTTTCCGAGAGGAAGAAGCAGATGAAATATAAGTCAGTACCAACATAAATTTGAGACGATCAATTTCAGCTTGATTCTCATTTCTTTTTCTCTGTACCATGGAAAGACAGAATCCATTTGAAAAATGTCAAGAAATTCAAATGATTGAGACTAGAAATATCTTAATAATATTCTTAATAAAGTAGATGTACCTCACCACCCAACTCCTTGTCAAGTTGACCACTTAAAGCTTCAGTCGAAGGTTGATCGCCCCTTCAAACAATGTCAAATGATATGTGAATTTAGGTAAGGTGATGAAATTCCAAAGATTGCAATATAATTTGAGAACTGAGAGCTTCAGTCTGATGAAACTTGGATTTTTGTAATGTCAAAACCAATCAGTTGGACAGCCACAAAGAAACCAGAAAATCGCTCAGAAGACTTTGAATATGGTGGTCTTGCTGCTTGAATTACTAACCTAATTAATTGATTGACTGTTGCGGAAGACAAAATATGCTCRGATTCCAGTGCAGTTCCATTTGATGTCATCACAGAACCTCTACTCGCCATCTCTTCTGAGCATGCCTCAACATAAGAGTTTAGTTTAGTTTCTTCTGCATGTATTGTTCTAATGAATCCATTGCTTTTTCCAGCACCACCCTCACTTAATATGGCATCAAAATTATCTGAGCATCAATGCATTGTCACGTGCTCAACTTGAAGTTTTCAGAAGCACCAGATTAATAAAAGGCAAAAACAGAATAATATGTAATGAGAGAGAATGTTTTTATTTATGAAAATACAGATTCAAAGTAGTATATTTAACAGTAGTTCGACTTGAAAAAAGAAATATAACAACATAATATTTAGATAAACATGAAATGATCTCTTACATCAAATTCCTGGAAATACAGATCACAATTTTACAAAAACATACATTACAAGCACCAGCTTTCACCCTTCTATTTACTACAAAAATTTATAAAAAATCATTGTCTATCACAAGAATCACAGTGAAACTGACCAACCGTGAAAGGTGATCTACAGAAAAGAGTAATGGGGTTTTTTTTTTTGAGACGTTCACTCTAACATACAACGTCTCAATAGATGTTGTTTTCTAATCCTCTATAAAACAAAATTAAATCTTATTTATATGTAGTAACTGAAGCTAGTGTCCACTGTCCAGTATTGCAATCAAGAAAAATAACACCTTACAGTTTACATAAGAATTTGTAGCTCATGCTCAAGTGAGAAATGAAACAAAAACAAACTGACCGATGAATCAATTATCATCAGTGTGCATCTAACTATGGACAATAATAAAGTAATGTTCTTATTTATGAAGATCATGTTAACAATGAGTTCTATCGATTCCAAATGCAAACATTAAGGCACAGTTCATTGTTGTGACCACAACTAAAAACACCATAGATGTTAATTTAAAAACCCAATCATGCAAACTAAAACTCCAATGGTTCCGTTCTAAATGCAAAACTATCCAGCCTATGATAATTGGATGTGCAATTCTCCGCATTATACAGAATCCAAATGGATGCTTCAGACAAAATTGGCATATTATCTACAGCATCCATATGGAAATTTACGTTGGCACTACAAAAAATAATTGTCGATTCAACTTACCATCTATCATATCTAGATCTCCATTTTGTATAAATTTAGCCACCTTCTCCGCCAGGGATAACTCCTTTGAATATTTTATCAACTTGTAACTAGACTCTTCATGTTCCAGAGCTCTATCAATATTTAAATCACTAGATTTGTCATCTATGATAGTCATTTCTGCCAATAAGGAGACGCCATCCACATTGTTATCTACTTTCTCAACCTGTTCATTTGAACAATCCAATGCCTCTTGCTTTGAGGATGAACTAGCTGTCAAAATCAAAGGTTTGTCATCAAGGTGATGCATGTCAAGACATTCATCAACTGTGGAATTTATCATATAATTTTCTCCAGAAAGGACTTCAGGTGACAGGGATGATCCATCGACCATATTGTCTATAATCTCACTTTGACATTCCAATGAATATTCAGGCTTTTCCACTGATAAATTCGTTGAAAATTCAGTTGGCTCTCCAGTGTAGTCATTGCATTTAACATCTGAACCCATATTTGAACTACTAAAATAATCTTCTGAGGCAGTGGCTTCAGTTTTCAAGGACATATCTTCAACTCTCACAACATTCTCATCATTTTCCCTATGAGACTCGATATATTCATCATTGTATTCTAGATCATTTGACAACTCTTCCTCCACTGATGAGYTGGCTGTAGTTGTAGGAGACRAGTTACAGTCATCCGAGTTAAAATCATCGTTGGTATTTGAACTAGGATAAAAATTTTCCAAGACCAAAACTTTGTTTGGCGAACAAAGTTCTTCAACTACATCTTCTGCCTCGCCATCCTGGCCTTTTGAGAAATACAAGGGGGTCAATTATTCGAATGACAAGCCATGATTCACTAACACAGATGGAATAATCACATATTAACCTGTCAGGGTAATGTTCTCTGAGCCACTTTCAACTGTCTTGGTTGAGTTGGTCGTGAGAAGCTCTCGTATAAATTTGTGACCCCTTCGTCTGACAATATTCGCGAGGTCAATCCTGTATGCATTCAAAATGAAGCATTTAATCACCAAACACAGAACACTATACTTCCAACTTGCAAAACTAAACGAGTAGCACAGCTATATAAAAACTCCATGAACCTCTCCACATCTTTTTGCCATCTTATTTATAAAATATATTAGTCGAACCCCACAAAACATGCGATTCCATTTAAGGCACAAAAAAGAGAGAAAGAGAGAGAGAGAACAAAGAACACCTTCCGTGCTGCGAAAGCTCCTTTGTAGAAGGTATATGATCCTCCGCAAGTCCGACGGATCTAATGAACTCGCGAATGTCGCTAAGTAGCTCCTCATTGCTCTTCGTCTTTCTACCAGCCCTGAAGCACAAAGGTTCCACCATAATAACAAAACAGATAATATACACCAATGGAGACAACCTTCAATACCGAAAGAGCGGTGAAGATGACAAATAAACCGAACGCAATGGGGGAGGAAAAACCTGGATTTCCTGATTGAAGAAGCACAGACAGAGCAGTCTCTTCTCCGAGGATGGTGCTGTTGGTGGCTGAAGCAGCGAAGCTTCGGCTGCTGATTCTGCGTTTGCAGTTGGTCTAGGAAAGAGAGATTCCGAGAAGAGAGAGACAAAAAGGAGGGAAAATTAGAGAGGGTGGCCATGGGAAAGCGAAACTCTCACCGCGAGTTCGCTGAGCGGGCATTTGCAGTTCTAAGCTTAGCTTTTGTCGCGAGGCGATGCTCGTTTATGGCGGACGGGAGCGAAAGTTCTTCGCGAAATTACCACCATCACTATTTTTATTAAATAAAAATATACATAAATTTAATAAAACAATTAAAGAAAATTGACATGACATCATGTTAATTTATTTTTTAAAATAAAATCATTTAAACCCCACAAAATATCTCAACTATAAAATCAATGGCATAAAAATAGTATATAACTGTGGAGCATGATTTCACGAGTCATATATTTTCGAACAGTCATTGGTGATATTATTTCTATGGATATTATTTAAAGATATACGTCAATTACGGTTGAACTCGATTTGATTTCATAATTTAATTAATAATGGATTATTTGGATTGGCAGATTCATTTTTCAACCAAAATTTAATTTGCTAATGTCTAAAAATATATATATTAATTTGCTATTCAAATATCTGAACCAAGTTTAGTTTCAAGGTCCATGATCCATAGAAACGAGTGGATCAAACTGAAGCATGGGATAGGCTTAAATTGGACCCAAAATAGCCCATTCCGATATTGGACTTTTCAACAAGAAATTGTAGCTAGTTCAAGAATTTGTAAAATGGGCTCATTTCCATTTATCTATCTTTAAACCAAACTTATATTAAAAATAATCGAAAAAATAACACAACCTCACTATTTCTTTYAGGACATCTGGGTATGAAAATTTGAATTCAGACCTCTTGGTTGGAGATATATTTTATTGACTTATACTCAAATCTAATATAATTTCACTTACTTAGAAATAAAAATAAACCTTTATTACGTGATGTTAGAATAAATTTTTAGTAAAACATGTGGGGTGAGGGTTCGAACTCATGAACTTTTTGTTAAAGATAGGTGTCTTAACCATTTGAGCTATGCTCGGTTTAGTCTGAAATTAATGTTGATTAGTTTAACAATTGTACAATTATTTGACAACATTGGCTTGACTAAGGAGTAATTGATACCGGTCTCGAATCGAGAGATTATGAGTTCAAATATTCCACTTATTTGTTGTATTAAAATAATTGTACAATTCTTTTATTCGTACATTGAGAATGAGAAGAGTGACGTGTTGTTTCTAAAATAAAATCGAAGAAATATTTATATGTAGAGTTTTATTGAGAGTTCAACAGATGTAAATTCCCAACAAAAAAAAAATTGAAGATTCAGACCTACAACTTCTTGTTAAACTAAAAAGTATATTTTTCATCTTGCAATTGAGATAGTTTATGAAAATAATAATAATAATAAATAATTTACATTATTTTTTTATTTTTTTATTTTTTATTTTTTATTTTTACAAATATTTGTATAATATATCATTATATCGGTAAAAATGGAGATTTGGAACGTTACAAATGTCTTAACCCTTTAAACTAATGTCAACTGACATTTAATATTAAAAATTATAAATATTTTTGTAATCTAATAAAAGAAAAATTATATAAAAAAAACAACCAGCTTTTGTGAAGATTTAAGGCCCATTTGGTAACGTTGCTAGTTTCTTGTTTTCAATTTTATTAAGAAATTTAAACATTTGACAACTGTTTATGTTTCTTGTTTTTCATTTTTTTATAAAATTTCTCAAAATAGTATAAAATTTTTTAAAACAACAAAAATTAGGGTTCATTTGATAACGGTTATGCTTTTTGTTCATGTTATTCATTTTTAATAAAGAAAAATGAATTGTTTGACCCTTAAATAAGAAACGAATTAAAAATGTATGACTCGATCCTTATGAAGGAGCTTGAATAGTGGAATGAAAGACTTGACTAAGTTAATAAATAGTAATTTTTCACTTCAATCAAATCAAAAAACATCTACAAATTCAAGTATAGAAAACAATATTTTTATTTATATTTTGGAACGAATTGAAAATAAAAATAAAAAAGAAGAAACATGTTTTAATTGGTAGGAAAATTTTTTATACAATTTTGAGAATGTTAAAATAAATAAATAAATAAAATAAGAAATATATTAAATTACAAAATATTTAAATTTCTTTAAAAAAAATTAAAAACAAGAATAGAATGTTATTTTCGAACAGATCCTAAGTTTCCTATTTCTAATTTGTTTCAACATAAAAATATTGTTTTATCGTTTTTATAACGGTAAATGTTGAGAATTATATAATTATATTTTCTTATTTAAAAAATAAAACAAAAAGAAACGTCTTAAAATTCGTTGTACTCGAGAGAGTGCCCCAAGTAGGTAGCCACTTCACACTTCCCGTCTATTGACTTGTTTGGCCAAAGAAAACAATAATAAATAAAATAAAATAAAGGGTTGACGATTATTGGCATTTACAAAACGAAAAATTCATAAAAAAGGGTAATCCAAACATGGCTTTGGAATATGTGCCTTCACCGTTTCTGTGAAAAGTCAACATGGCCGAAGACGGTTGTCGTTTTGCTAGCTTTTAGGTGTCGTTTGGTCAATTATCTAGAATTTAACATGGTCTGCGCCCAAGGCCAGTGTTTGGTAGCTGATTAATCCTTTTTTCTTCTTCTTTTTTTTTTTAATAACTTGGGAATTATTTACGATCCAGTTTCTTAAACGCCAAAAAAAAAAAAAAACATTAATGTTTCAACTTCCAGTCTGGCATCCATCTCGATTCAACGTTAAATATCCACATCTTATTCGAAATATAAATAAAGTTTTGAAGAGAGTAGCCTCTCAGCTTCTTATTATGATCCAACGTAAATTCTTTATTGAATTATTAGTTCTAGGTTTTTTGAGTAGTTAGGATCGTAGAACTATTGGTTGAAAAGTAAGTTGGCCTTTGTTTGGTCATCAGAATAATGATGTTCTTATTAGGTATGTGTGACCAAAAGTATGAATACAAATATTGTGTAACAATACGAAGGAATGAGGGTCTTAAGAATGAAAAAAAACTAGTGTGTTTTGTTGTTGTTAATTTAATCTAGGCGAGGGAGAAAATTGTCAAGATATAATCACGAAAATAATATTATTTTAAGAAGGGAAGGGAGGAAAAGTCTCAATCACCTACAGATATATTATTAAATTAATATATTTTTCAAATCAACAAATACAACCACCAACTTTAATCATCACGTGATTTTAACTTTAGTACGGTCAAAGGAGCTTATGAACCATTTACAACAATTTCTCAACCAAAAGTATATTTTTTCCTCATGTAATTTTTTTTTAATTTTCAAATTTTAGCTTAGATTTTAAAAAATAGATTAACAAAGCAGTACATAGGTGAGAATATGATTTACGAGCTTAAATTTCAAAAACAGAAAATCAAACACGCCTTAATTCTTTTATTCTATTTTTTAAAATAAAATGCAATGAAAATAAACCATCACATAAGCCTTAGCCAATTTGAAACCAAGGGAGGCAGCCAAGTCAACCATGCCTTTGAGTAATCAAATACCAAGAAAGTCAAATAGAAATGAGAGTTGAATAGTAATAGATTCTTCATCCAATTATCAAAATTTTATAATGAAGCCATCACAAACACATTTTTACTTTTAGCATTTACATGTATGATTTTAGTTTAAATATGTGGATAAAACTTTTAATGAATTTTACATACAAGTCATTTTAGTAATTATATTCATTTATAATAATTTTCTTTTAAATAAATTTATTCTACACTATAATAGATATAAGTACTTAATGAAAGTCACATATAACAAGTCTTTTATCAAAATATATTTAAATTTATATTAAAATACTAATGAATAAAGATTAAATTAATTTTTAAATATAAAATAAAAAAGTTAAATTGAGAGATTAAAAATAAAATATTTGAATGTAGAGACCAAAATAAAAATAAATGAAAATTAAAAGATCAAGATAATTTTTTTTAAAGACTAATCATGATTGTTGATGTAGGATTTCATCGGGCTAAGACCACTAACAACTAAGATGAGTTGGTGAGATGCCACCTTAAACAAGAGGATTAAAAGATGACTAGACTAATTATGATAGTATTAGATTGATTTTAAATATAATTATACTTAGTTTTGCTAAAAAAAAAAAAGAAATAATAAATAAATAAGTTTGGAAATATAATAAAAATGATTCTATAAACAATTATTGAAGATTTGGTCCTCGTGAGCGAAGAGAGAGACTTCCACCGAGATTGTTATCCTTTTTAATAATTATATTTTTGACAACTTGGTTTTAAATTATATTAGTCTAAAGTCGACCATTATGAAATGTCCTCGCACTTCTCTTTTTGAAAATTAAAATTTGTGGAAATTGCATGTTTAAAATTCGATGTTTAACTGCTTAAATGTTTATATACTACAAGAAAATATTTTATAAGTAGGGGATTGATTTTTTATTCATATAACATCAACGTGATCTATGCTTAAAATTTGGTATTGTTTGAGACTGGCAAATTATTACAATAAATAATTTAGTGAATAAGATTGTAGCAAAATAAATCTTTTCTTTAAGACTATTATAGTAAAAGAAAATAAAAATAAAAAATAGATCGAGGAAACTGACTTTAAAGTTAAAGACATTTATATAAATAATGTTAAATAAAAAATAATACTTACCTCAACAGAAAATGCTGACCACTGCTATGCTGTATATAAGTATAAGAGAGAAATATAGGAAGGAAAAAGGAGGAGAGATATTTTTTTTTCTTTTTTGTAATAATTAAATAGTTGTCTCATTTTTAATTGTGATCTGTTTTTTTAAATGTAGTAAAATATTTTAAAATTAAAAAAAAATACGTAATTTAAATCATTGAACTTGAAGAAGGTAATATAAAACACAATAAAAGAAAAGACATATATGCTATATCTATAAAAAAAAAATAATAATAAAAAATAGTCAGGATGATTTTGTAAATAGATATTAAATTTATGTAAGATGTACCTTATTATATAGTTAGAATAAAAGCCAAGCCTGCCCTTGACAAAAGATAAATTATATCTCTCATATCAATACTAATTTCCTCAATGAATAAGAACAAATTTTGACATGATATAAATTTTTGGATCATATTTGAAAGACATTTCTGAATATTTTTCACAAGAAATTAGTAAATGAATATACGATAACTTTATAAGCGTATAATATTTAAAATCTAAAATTCAACTATAGAAGCCTTTTATTCTGACATTTTAAATTTTGCCTTCCAAAGACAATCCGATTGGTAAGAATTTCTGAAATCTTGATCTGATTTAGAGGTCTCACATTTAAATCTTTCAATAGAGTTTAAATTTTTTTGATGCCTCTCGAGTTCGAGTCTTAAGGCAGACATAGATGCCTTATATTTGGAGTAAAGCTCTGACTCCTCGTTATAAAAAAAAAACACATTGATGTTTTATTTTTAGTACTAATTATTTTTTAATTAATAATGGTTATTATTTTTTAGTACAAATAAATAACGATTAAGCTGAATAAATATTTAGAAGTAGTTCTCATCTGATTCTCATATACTTCCTTGACACTTTGGTCAAACTTGGACCACGTGTCTCCCTCTTGAAAATCTGATTTTACTTGGACAAGGCCACGTGTCTTTATTTTAATAATATCATTTTGTCTACAAATTTTCAACGATATCATTTGTTTTCAATCAAAGATTCAAATCTTAATAATATTTTTTACTAGAAAAAAATTATTACGATATTTAAATTAGCATTTTAAATATTAAATATCTACTCATCTTCCCCGATTTAGAATTATTATTATTATTTTTTAAATACCTCAAATTAAAAAAAAGGTATTATCGTAAAACACTTCAAAATTCCTATCGCCTTTTTGTTTTACAATTTCGAGGACGTTATTGAATAGAATTTTGATTGAAAAGTTCGAAAAATTGGAGAGAAAAATTGAAAATGTTTAAATATTTTGGATTGAATTTGAAAAATGATGTATATTTCAGAAAGTAAAAGACAATAGAATTGGTTATTTTTCCTCCTTTTATTTGTCATCGCATATTTCATCTTTTTGTACGACAAACCTAACAATCTAATATAGTCGATAAGGTGATAAAGGAAATATCAAAATGGATAAGATTTATCATCAATAAAAGCAAAAATGTTAAGAATAAATAAATTACTACCCAACTCAAAAACTTAAGCTGATTGATTGAGTTATAAAGGGGAGGAAACAAGAATACAAGGAGATTCGAACATAGAATTTCTCGCAAGGATGAATAAACTTCTACTCAATCCAAAAGTTTAAGTCGACGGCCGGTTGGGTAAATTTAATTTATTTATAAGAATTCTAAAAAATAGAAGAAGAAGATCAACGAACTTCTATGGAAATAGTTTGCAAAGGTTTACTAAAGAACACGTTTTATCAAAGGATTGATTTCAAATATATATAGAATGACTCGATCATCCCGATTTCTAATTAAACCAAAATAGTGTGAGAGCTAAAAATTATATATATCAAGGAAATGTGCACATGGTTAAAATAGTTGACATATGGATGAGGAGGCTAAGACAAGTGGATGAAAAGAAAGAAACTTAGTACATTAGTTTGGAAAATTATTTGTGGAAAAGGGCTTCAATTTAATTATATTTCTACTTTGACCAATTCATACCCACTTGCCTCAATTTGTCAATAATCTAGAATCCTTGCATTTAATTCCCAAATCCTCAAATTTCTCAACAAGAAAATCTGACCATATACAACTCATCTTGACAGAGGTGTAAAATTTACACTAAAATATACGTAATTTTGTCTACAACATTTGTGACATTTTTTCCCTAATTTTTAAAAATTTCATTTTCTACTTACACCAATGGTAATGGTGAGGAGGGAGGTCGGATTTTTTATTTTTTAGAGGATAATAGATGTTTTATCTACTAAACTATATTCGAAATGAACGATAATGAGTAAAGTTTAAAGAAGTGTTTGTTTAAATATTAAGTTGCAATTGTACATTAAAATATTTATGGTTAAATTCACTATTGAACATATTAGTTATTTGGATGGTTTAGGTTTCCAAGTACAAATTTATATAAATTACATATTAAACGAATAAAAAATTTTTAAAATGTGAAATTACAAGAACTCAATTGAAACTAGACTCAACTAGCTATGAAGACAAAAAAAGAGTATTCTAAGGTCCATCTGATAATGTTTTTTTCCCCCTTTTGAAGTATACCTACATTTAACGAATCAAGATTCGACACCTAATTGTGTGGTATTTTCACCTACATCCCATGCAACCAAAGACCATCTCTACAGACCACCTACGATTACTCTAAACCAATCACGCTTAATTTTGAAGTTTTTATGATTGAGCATAATCGAAAATAAAGGTCCACCTTGTTAGTATTGGTAGTGACTATATCAATTCTTTTAAACCTTTCTTAACATGCTTCCATGATCGTCTCAGAATCCCTCTCATTCGAATGTAGCATTGGTTCATCCATTACGACATCCTCTCTACTCAAGTATCACCGTTCATATTTCTCGTTTCTCATTTTTAATAAACGTCTACACAATTTTAAAAACAACAAAATCGAGTTTCTTATTATTTATTTATTTATTTTAGTTTCTAGTTATTTTCCAAACTATAGATAAAAATATTATTTTATTAGTTTTTATTTCAAAAATACATAACAAATATAAAAACTTAAAATAAAAAAGAAGATAACCAAACATATTTTTATATTTTTTCCAATAAAAAAAAGAACAACAACAGTTACCAAATCTCATATATATATATATATAAAGTAAGTTACCTCTATTTTGTTCCCAATTATAGGCAGAAGAGAGATCAGAAATGGGAAGAGCTCCATGCTGTGACAAAGCAAGTGTAAAGAGAGGGCCATGGTCTCCTGAAGAAGATGCCAAACTCAGACAACATATTCACAATTTTGGAACTGGAGGCAACTGGATTTCCCTCCCTTCCAAAGCTGGTAATTTAATTTTCATCTATATTTTCCTCACTTTTATATATATGATTTATTATTTCAATCTTAATTCCAGGTCTTGAGCGATGTGGGAAAAGTTGCAGACTGAGATGGCTCAACTATCTCAGACCCAACATCAAGCATGGTCATTTCTCTCCTCACGAAGATCGTATCATCTGCTCTCTCTTCACCGCCATCGGAAGCAGGTCTCGTATTTATTTTTCTACTTTAAATCTTTTAAGAAATGTGACAAAAATTTATAATATAATTGAGTTGCTGGAAGAGGAATAGCATCAAGGTAGTGAGATTTATTTCTTTTATCTCAAAAATAAAAAAATGTCAGGGTCTCAAGAAATAAATTACTATCCTTCGACGAGTATTAAAGATTTTACCTTGAAAAAAATAACCTAGATTTATAATATAGGCAGAGTGTTCAAAAGTGGAGCCAAAAAATTTGATCTAAATTGAAGCAAAATTTTGTATTCTCATTTGGTTTTCATATGTATGATCCGACATCGGTTTTTCTTTACGAGGGATTAATGGAGAAATTTTTTAGAAAAATCTTAATTTTCTGATCTAAGTTTATAAAGAAATTTCTAAATTATAATTTTCCAAAGGTGGTCGATTATTGCCGCTCAGTTGCCGGGGCGGACCGACAACGAGATAAAGAATCACTGGAACACGAAGCTGAAGAAGAAGCTAATGATGGGGTTAATTTCAATCCCGGAGATCAAACCAAATCCGGCCGCCGTATCATCTATCACCGGAGTTTCTCCGCCGCCGCAGACGGCTGCCGGCGTGTGGTCTTTCGCCGGTCCGGCGAACCCATCTCCGGGCTGCAACGATTCCGTGGGTTTGAATAATAATATGCAGCGGTATTACTACGGTAATCAGATTCAAGAAAACTTCCTCTCGTTCGGAGGGGATCAGGCCAGTTGCAGCTCTTCCGACGGCGGCGGCGGCGGCGGAGGAAGCTATGGGAAAGAAATGGGGCATTTTCAAAATGGGTTTTACGGCGGCGTTGAAGATCATCACCGGAAACAACCCATTGGTGTGATGGGGAATGAAGGTGGGTGGAGTGAGAAGGAAATTGGGGTGTGGAAAGAAGAAACTCCATTAGAGTGCAGCTTTGAAGAAATCAAGAGGTTAATTAGTTGCAGTGATGATAATAATAATTATAATAATAATAATAATGTTTGTGTTTCATTTGATGAAAATTACAAGAGTGGAGAGAGAATCAATAACTATTATTATTGAATTTCAATTGAATTACCACACTCTCACTAGTCTTGTCTCTCTTGAATTCTGTCAATAATTATTCCAAAATGTGTGAAGTTTTTTTTTTTTTTTTTCCTTCTTCATTTGGTATTCGATATTATTGATTTGAATGTGACAAGCAATGCTGAATTTGGCCTGAATTAATGAAATCAAAGATGTAAATAACCTATTTGGAGTTTATTTATTTGTTTGTTTTTCTTTGTGATTGTTTTGGTATTAGTTATAGGATTGAAATATGTTTTATGTTTTACTCTAACCGTTATTTCTTCTTATGTTCTTCCATTAAATAAATTAAATCATGAGAAGTTCAAAAATCGATGAAAATTTCAAGATTCTCCGTTTCAAATTATTAAAAGAGAGGTAATTTTTGTGCCTATTATTGAGATAGGAATTAAATTTACTCAAACAATTAAATAAAAAAATGAGATCAAACCAAGATCGATCGATGAGACTTTTCATTGCTCGCTTTTAACTTGAGTAATGGTTTATTCATATATTAACAAAAAGTATCTGAATTTGAGATAATTAATTGTGTCTTTCGTGAGGAGTTAACTCCTTTATTATTATACTTATAAAAAATATTGAAGTCTTACAACTTTTTGGGGTTTAGGCAAATTATTTGAGTGAGTACAAATTAACAAGATCCACACTTAATGATGATAGCAAAAAAAAAAAAAAAAAAGATTTGATTCTTTTTCCATTCAGAATCAAACTTGGAAATAATTGAATGTGTTTATTATTAATTATCATTATCTTCCATTAATTTGTTTAATCTTCTTGTACTCTATTTAATTAATAAACCACATGCAAATGCTTCATATAATAAATTAGAGCTTGATGCGATAGCTCAAATAATCTTTCAATTTAATATTATATTGTATATAAAAAAAATAAATATATAGATAATGTCATGGTTAATCAAATTCCGAGCCTTTATCCAATATTAAAAAAGAAACGAAAAGGAGACGACCAATGGCATGAATTACCTTATTAAAGAAATAGCATATACCTAACTACAAAATTATAAAAAATAGTGGAATTGAAACATGATTGACACCAATAATACTAGTTAATCAGTGACTTAAACATAATCAAATTTCAACGTTTGTAACTTTGAATTATATATCATCTTTAAAAATTCAAATAAAAAACCCATCCATTTCAAATTTGGTAGTTTCTTTGAATATAAAAACAAAATCTTAAGAAGCTAAGATAATGTATGACAAAATCATTGTATTTTTCCCAAGAAAATAAAGGGTAAAATATTGATGTAGAAATTTGGCGATTGGTATGGCTCTTGYCACACATATTCCGATGTTTAAGTAAGAATCGGAATAGTCGAGTATGAAGAGTAAGATATTTAGACGTAGCAAATAGTAGGGATTTAGAGCGYACCTTTAGAGTTTGGTTCACCCTCTTATTTATAGAAGTCAAATTCTAATAAACTTAGGAATTATAGAGGTCGAATCCTAAGTATAATAGAGGTCGAATCCTAATCCTTTTAGGATTTACTCCTAGTGTGTTCAGGAGATTTGGACTCCTTGGTCCATTTGTTTTGTTGTGGGCTTAGCGTTGGATCGAGGGTTGAGATAAGGTAGGTTCGAAGCGGACTGCACAAAAGTCGAGGAAAATCAAAGGAGGGTTCTTGGCCATTGGCCTAGAACACCTTGGCACTGAGAAGGTCTCGATGCCGACCACGGGTCGGCTGTGATCGACGGGTTTCGATGCTTACCTGGTTCGTACACTTCTTCCTTAACTTAATCTCCACTTCTGTCACTTGGTCCGTTCTTTTTTTTATCTTCCCACAACACAAAARGTCCTAAAAATAAGAAGAAACAACAAGTCGAGGCATGGAGATTCATGCCTCATCAACAATTAACAAATGATAGAGTTCAAGAAGGAGACTTGACACAATTATGAAACCTRAAGGGAGGGAAGCAGCACGACAAGCATGTCAATCAATACAAGARTTAGTACCTTCCCGATAAATCTGTCGGAAATCAATGCTCCAATTTCAGGAAATAAGTTGTAAGATAGAATTATTATTATTATTATTTAATTAATAATATAAATGCCAAAACGGGGGAAGAAGCCAAAATGGGCACAAAAGGGAGGGGGTGGTTTCGCAATAATGGCTCAAGGCAAAAGATAGTGGGATTTTGATATTCTTTTTGGATTCTTATGAAATCAAAGATATATTTTCATTGACCATTATTCATGAAAGTTTGTTTACTTGAAAGTAAACTAACAGGGTTTTCCAGCTAAAGGCATTTTATGCACAACTTTCACATAAATATTTATTTGATGTCTTGATGCTGTGGGTAAAGGGTTTTTTTAGTGAGGACGGTATGGACCAAAGTGTCTCACGATATTATAGATCTAACATATAAGTTATTTTAATTGGTGATGAGATCACATCAACGATTAAAGTAATATTCATGTTTCTTGTTTCTAGTTCTCAATTTTTTAAAAACGTAATTGTTTTTGCTTCTATTTCAAAAACTAAATATAATACAAATATTTTTGAAGTTTTTATAGATAACTTTTCCTTTTTAAATTTCAAAAAAAAAAAAAAAATCAAACAAAGTTATTTAAAATTTTAAAAGGTGGGAAGGAGAAACCAAAAATATGAATTGAAAGTGTTACCAACTAAGCCCTAAATTTATCGTCGTCTAAAAATAGGTTACCCGCAGTCTTTAAAGCATGCTCAATTGATTTACTCCTTCAACGCCCACTTGTCAAGATTTGTAAAGGGGCTTATAGAAGTCAATTTCTAGTAAATTTGTGATGGATAATCAAATATGGATTTTTCAATCAATTTTGTATATTATAATAATATTCTAAAAAATAAGGTACTTCTGAAAAAAAAAATATCTCTAAGTATTTAGAGAATATGGTGGTTGTAGTTGAAGTAAAAATCTAGAATGAATATATCTTGAAGTCTAGATTTTGTTAAGGGAAAATACCAAATTTATCTGTCAACTTAACAAGGTGTATCAATTTCATCAAATTACACCCAAAAATTGGATAAGTGTTGCAGTATTTGCCTAAAACTTAAAAAATATTGCAATTTTTATCTTCTAATGGTTTTTCATTCAAAGAAAAAACAACTTAAATATGTGTTGCAACATTCACTCTGAACTTTAAAAAAATATAGTAAATTTTACCTTTAAATAGATTGTCCTTTTATGAATTGTTTAAAAAGTATTTTGATATGTTTTCAATTGAAAAAATGTATTTTTATAAGAATCTGATAAAGTATAAAATATATATTTGATATGAAATTTATTGGATGTAGATAAAACATCAATAGAGCGTCTTTTTTTCCTTTTTGTGGTTAAAATTTACCRGTTTAAGTGAAYGACATGTGAGGGAGGGAAGATTGAGAGAATTTTAGAATGAAAAATATAAAAGCTTTGATAAATATAATACTATTTCATTTTATAAACTCATTTTATTTATTATTATTATTTTTTTTTTGTAAAACTGAAACGTGTAAAATATAATAATATAATGATATATAAATTATATATATTATAAAATAATAACTTTACAAAATTTATAACAAAAATATTAATAAATTAATTAATAAGATGTTAGATTGAACTAAATATGTAGTTTGGTAACAACAAATATTTTACAAGAYATTACTAAACACATGTTAACAATTTTAAAATTGAGATYYAATTTTAAAATCTACTACCAAACACATATTGAAACACACTAAAAATAATGAACTCTTTGTTCATCACCACCACCCCTACCAATTCTTTAGTATAATTTTCATTTTTATAACAAATTACATTTTTTAAAAAATAAGATGGAGTGATCTATACTTACAACCCCTACCCAATATCCAACCCACAAATTCCTTATGTAGGAGTGCAATATATATGGCAGGCAACTACGGAATGACTTCTAATTTGGTCTAAACTAATGGAAAATATGAAGCTAAAATTAACTAATAGAAAGAATTCTGCAAATAAAATACATGGGCATACATAAATAGTTTAATAAAATTGAACCTGTTGGTGTAAATAAGAAACTAACCTCACACTAAACTCTTTACAACACCAAAAATCTTTAAGGAGTTCGTATGATAAACTCACATTGACATAAGCTTCGGACCGTTATCGGGCATGCCCATCCCAGCAGCTAACTCGGCGTCCAACTGTGTGTGGGGTGCAGGACCCGTCATTAGTTTCATACTGCATCACCATCGCCCTCGTCGATCAGTAACATTGATATCACAATTACAAATCAAATATTATTCTCTAATACAATCAATCATACATAGCAGCTTCATATCTCACAATCACAATCAAATGGGATCAAATATCATGGAGAAACTAATGGCAGTAATAAGCTAAAGATTTTAAGTTCAAATTCCACTAGAATTTCAATTTAGCTTTATCTATAGCACATTAAGAAGGGGGGTTGATCCATTTAGTTCTAAGATGAGCTCAATGGAATCTTAATATTTCACTTCCAAGTTCATAAACATTATGCTATAACTTTAAACCAAAAGTACAGAAACAGAGAAGTCAATTCATTAGGGGAAAATTGTCTAATCCACAAAGCAATATCTAAATTAGTAGAATTAAAAAAGTAACGTGGGCTAATAAGATGATTTTAACCTAATGATCAGAATTTAGACCATATTACATAAAGAAGACACAAGCGAAAAAAAAAAACCAAATAAAGAAATAAGTAAACTAAAATATGCAAAGGAGTAGAAGAAGTGCTCACCGCTTCCTGTGACGCTTGGTCTTGAAATGCTCGTCCCTCACAGACACATTCGCAAAGTATCGGCTGAAACCAATCATAAACAATATTAAAGAACCCAAACCATACCATCAATAAATTAGTTTCTACAGAATTTTAGGTCAAATGATCAAGAACTGAAAAGAATTAACGATCCCCAAAAATTAGAACATACTCGCAGTGCAAGCAGTAGTACTGCCCCATTCCAGGCAAATCTTCATCGACAGGCAGAGAAGGCCTCTCCACATCGGGTTTCTTCAACTCATCGTAAACCATATCATCCCGTGATTGATCGAGTTAAGGAAAATGCCCAAACAAAAGGAAAACCAAATAGAAAAAGCAGAAGAATTGAAAGGGGAAACACCCATTAAACTAAAGTGACCATAAAGGATATCTTTGACGAGGAATTTCGTGCGCCGAGCGGTCTTATGGGAGTACCTCCGCTTCTTGACGCTTCTGTGAGGGCACTTTCCTCCCATCTTCTATCTGTATGCTTGAATTCAGAGCCTAATTTATGGCAGAATCAGAGTAAAATTTAGGGTTTCTTTTGGCGGGTTCTTCCGCCGGAGCCCTAGCGAGAGAAAGCGGTTGTAAAGAAGGCGAGAGTTATGAAGGAATCGCGACTATTGTCAGCTGTGAAAAACGACGTCGTATGTACTTTGACCGAGTCAAAGCCCAAAAGAGATCAAGAAGCCCAACTATCCTCTAGTTTGGATCAAAATCCAATTTTCATATGGGCCTTCTCATATTAGGCCCAAAATTAATGGACTTGTTATTTTTAATAATATTTTTTTTTACAAACTATTTCCAAAAATATAGGTTCTACTAAACTATTCCCAAGAAAAACGTTTAAAAATAGTTTATCATCATTTTAAGAAACAACATATTGAGATTTAGGAGAAAAAAACCAAATGGTGCATGTAGTTTCTTCAAAAGACGCATGCACTGTCACACATAACTTTATTAATTCGTTACTATTTTTCAAGCATTATTCTTTAAAACAGTTTGGTAGATAGTATATTTTTTAAAAATTTTATTAAAAAAAGAAAGTTCCCAAAAGTAAGTAGGGGATTCATTTGCAGAACGATAAATTATGAAATGTTTTTACAAATGCTCCCTTTATGCTTTTTAGTTTTCAAAACCAGCCCCACATACATGCATGAATCACCTTCGTGTTAGCCCTCTTAGAACACATATTATAGCAAACAAATTATTAATTAGCGTTTTTATCTTTCAGATTATTAACTCGTTACCATTTTGAAGTTTAAATCTTTTAAATATTTTCTTTAAAAAAATGTGAAAGGAGCTGCCCATAGTATCAACAATTATTAAACAAAAAAAATATTGACCAAAGAAAATGAGAAATTGGAGGGGCGATGTCGTTACTACAGGCTGTAAAATGGTGGAGTCTTGCCAGGGAGTAAAGAGTTTGGAGACGGAAGCAGTGTTGGAAGGCCTTTGTCATCTGCTGTGACGTGCACCTTCTCTTCCTCTTCGAGTGGAAACCGATTCAGAGGAGCTTGCCAAGTTTTTGTGTGATGAGGACCAAGACTTAGCAGAAATCTAGTGGATTGTGGAAGAAATCAAAAGCCTAAAAACTCTCTACAGGATCATCTCTTTTGCGAAAGTGGATAGAAGAGCATATTTCTGTGCTCTAAAAGTGTATTTTGAGATAATGGTATCTCTAGTTGGCCGAGTTCTCTAGCCAATCGGGATCTTCTTTTACTTCTTTTTTTCCTAAAAAAAAAACAATGGTTAAACAAAAAAATATTGAATGGTATCGAAACAAATTAAAGAGGGCATAAAAGATAAATAAAAAATTTAAAACTATCATATTTACCTTCTAATACTGCCGTGTGATATTTATTATTTTCAAATTTAACCGAAATTTATAGTTTTTTTTTTCATAAAAAAGAAAATTGTGAGTTATCATATGAAAGAAAGAAGAATTTTCTGTCGAGTAGCCCTCTTAATTACAGAAAGGTTGCCATTGAATTTTAAATAAATGTTACGTGAAATTAGAATAGCGATAGTGAATGGAAGTTTTCACTAAAACAAGCAAAAGAGGAAAAAAGCCAATAAATTTTGCATGGATAAATTGAATATTCTAACATATGCCATGTCATCGGTCCCAATTCCGAAATTGGAAAATCCGTAAATGTAAAATGAAAACTTATGAAATCTAACCTAATCAAAACCACAGCACAACAGGAGAAGGAGAAGGAAAAAAAAAGAATGAAGTTCAGTTTAGTTCATCAAGTTTGACCTCACACTGTTCGCCCGACGAAAGATTTTTGACTCCGACCATACCTCGTTGCCATTCTGAACTTCCGACCAAAATGAGCCGCTGAGCGTTAATCCGGGCAGCTCGTTTGAACACCCTGCAAAAGATAAGCAACCATTTTGCATCAGAAAATCCGATCACCATTTATGTTTGGTGAAGGAAAGGAGAAGAGAGAGATACCACTTAAGAGGTTTGTTCTCCAAAACCAAATCAACACTTTGACCTTTTTCCCTGAGAAGTGTAGCAACTGTAGAAGCTGCACCTTGGAGATCAGGATCCAGAGCACACACTATGTTCTCTACTTCAAGACTCAGTTGTGGCACCAGACTCTTTTCCTTCAGCAACTACAGGTAAAACCCACCCACCAAGACCATAACAAATATCTAAGACTGGAGTAGCCAAAGAGAATTATGACTAAAAAGTGTGATCCTTTCTACTTGACTAATTTTAACTTTGAACTTTCAGTTCCCTCCCTTATTTTGTTTATTTTGAAAATTTGTAGCTAAGTTGATTATTTTATCAACTTTAAGAGGTTTTTTAGTTGGATCGTGGACAATTTTCTAATGTAACTCAACTCAAAGGTATTGGTTACAACATTGATCCAAGTTTAAGGTTTAGGTCTAATTTGACTATTCATGCACTCTAGTGTTTCTAATATAGAGAAAGAATAGGTAGAATCTTGATTAGTAGCGCGGAGATCAGCTTAAGACTTACCTCAACTATAACAGCATCGCCAAAGCCGAAGCCACACGCAGGAATATCATCGCCACCGAAAGTAGAAAGCAAATGATCGTACCGACCCCCACCACATATGGCTCGTAGTTTTCCTCCTCTATCAAATCCCTAATTCGTTCATACCACCAAAATTATTTATGAAAAGAAGAATAATATAATTATTATTTTTAAAAAAGAAAAGAACAATGGTCATGACATTAGACTTTTCTTTAATTGAACTCACACGAGGACAAGAGAGAAGAATACAATTTTGATCAGTTTACCAGTTTTTCCTATAAATCAATTAGCAAGAAATAGCCATAGCTAATTAACTATAACTTCTATTCTATACATATGGAGACATAGCTGCTTAAGAACAAATATTGACTGAAGAAAGGAGGTAAAACAAGGGTGTGTTTACAAACTTTCTATTATTAAAGATTTTACATCATAACATTATATTATACTTCTAGATTTAGGACTTTAGGCCATTAATGAAGCTGCTTTTCCCACATTTATTCCATTACTTTCTGAAATAAGTTCAACTTAATTTTAGATGTATTGACAGTAGATTAGAGCGTTGACGTGGCATTATTTCAGTAAATGACAATATATGTTAAACCTATGAAATGAAATCATCGAGACAAACAAGTTCTTGGGAGGAGTTAGTATCAATTATCGGATGTTAACGACGAAACTAACCTCAAAAACAATCCCAGTATAATAAGCAAGGCCGCGGACAATGGAGGCGTCGAATTGGATCCAATCAGCGTACCCAAACTTTTCAGCGAGAGAAAACAGCTGCTTCAGATCAGACACCGCTTCCCCACCACCTCCAATTATCTCTATGCAAGAATAACAATCACACTTCAATCAATTTCAATGCCACAATTAGAGTTATCACATCCACTCCAAGTTATTTGTAGAGAGACTCTATCAACATGAAAATATTTATTTTGAAAATTTCATTCAAGAAAACATAAACCGATTCCTCAAGGCACCATTTTATGTAGGAAATAACCTTCTAGCTTTGTCAAAGACTTTACTGAAAGAACTTGCAACAGCTCCTCAATAGCCTCCTCTGATACACCCACAGCTTTCAGTTCCTTCTTCATCTCATCTAATGGAATTTTCTCTATCTGTTCTTAACAATAATAGCCAGCGGGAAAACACAGAGAGAGACAGAGGTAATTAATTTTTGCATCCAAACATGCTAGGAAACAAGCACAGAAACATTGAAACTAAATTTGTGGAACTTGAATCTTAGATCACTAACCTTGTCTATGATAATGCAAACCTTGCCAAACATATTTTCAGGTATTCCAAAACATTCTAATACTTCTTGCAAAACCTACCATCAAACAAAAAAAATTGGGGATTAACTCCAACTATAACTATTGAACTTTTTGGTTCACTATTGAACTCTTAATAACTACGAAAGCCTATAATCTATAAACTGCATCTATTGTAACCATCACACAACATGCATAACATAAAAGATACCTTTCGGCTGGAAACCTTAAATCCAACATCAGCTGCTGTAATTCCAATTCGCTTGAAAAAAGTAACAATGGAGGATAGAAGCTCTGCTTCAGCCTAGAGAGTACAAAGAAGTTAAAATATAAGTATAAATAAAATGGGCACACATGAGTATTTGTATACCAGGAACAAGTTTCAATATTAATTCAAGGCAGATACCAAAGGGTATTCTAAATTACTATCAGACCATGCCCGAGATGAACCTTTAATAGTGAACTAAATTCGTTTTTTCAGTTTCCACAGCACGGAGATGAAATGGGACATATGACATGAGGAGAGAGGAAGTTTTCTAGCATAAACTATTCTTAAGACTACGTACGAAGGTATAGAAAGTTGCATGATTATTGATTTCTTATATTGCAAAAATGAGCTATTTCTAACTAGCAAAGAAATACTAAATCAGATACAGTTCCACAAGCAAGTTTAAAACTTTTCACATACCGTAACCTCGGGTACACCAATGATATCCATATTCCATTGGTAATGCTCACGACGCCGACCTCTCGTCATTCTCTCATATCGCCAGCATTGTCCTATAGCAAACCATTTCAATGGGAGGGACAGAGATTTTCTGGACAGGAAAAAAGATGGAGATCAAATTCTGGCCTCTGTACCTAGATACAAAGATAATTAAAAATAAATAAATAGACAGATTAAATTTTCACAGACCCAATATAAAAAATCATGTAATACAGAAAACACATTTTGAGATTAATCAAAGTACCCTTTCTGGATCACTAATCTTGCCAAAGAAGGGGTAAGCTCAGGCCGTAAAGCAACTCGACGATTTCCCCGATCTTCAAAACAATAGAGCTACATAAACAAAAAGCACAAAATAAAATCACTAATACAAGCCATAAAGTTTCCACATTATTTGAGGTTTTATTACAATATTCTTTGGCCAAAATGTTACAATTTCAAGTAGCAACATATAAGGGGAGAAAAACAGAAAAGAAGAAGAAGAAGCAGGCAGATGTACCCATAATAAAAGCCCCAAACAATTTGAAATGTGAATAAAGTGAAACACCAAAACAGTATATTGTGGATTACTTGTAGTTGTCAGCTCTAAAACCGTAAAGGATAGGTAAGGAAACAAGTTAAAAATGATAAAATGGTTACCATAAAAATTTCATCACTAATACAAATTGGGTTGGTATATCGCAAAAGTTGGTTACCACCTTAAACTTCTACACAAATATAGCTTCAATAAAAAAAAAACAAAAACTGATACAAATTGCTTAAAATGGAAAAGACTCTTATTTTTCATCTTTAGTCAGTCAACGAGTAAGAATTAGATATCAGGATTCCATTTGGCTCTTTAAATTGTCTCATTTCTTGTACAACTTTCCTATCTGCTGCGGTATTAATATCTTTTAATTTCCTTTATGAAAAAACCAAGCTTTCATTGAAGCAAATGAAAGAAAACAACCGAGCATAAAAAAACGACAATTAAAGGAGCCAATACAAGTTGAGAATAAGAGATTGGCTACAATGGTTGAAAATAAGACATAAATATAAGTTATAAAAATCCTTAGACATTCTCACCCAAAGGATGTAATGTAACCCAAACCATACTTCAGACTTCCAAGCCTTCTAGAAATTCTTCTATTTCTCCCTACCTATAGATGTTCTACAAAATATCAAAGAAAGTTGCATGCTAGAGAATCACTCCCATATCCCAAAATGGCAGATGGAAAATCAGCCCCTCTATCACTGAATATCAATCACTTGCCTATTCATGCGAAGTCCTGCTACTGAGTGCAACTGAATTCGAGCAGGAAATTAAAGGCAGATACTCATACTAACAGTTTGAGAATAAATTATAAGATACAGCCAAAATTATTTGCAGAATCATGATTTTTCCTTTTTAATTTCACTCAATTTAACAAATTAGTCCAAAACTACAAAATCAGTAAACAGGCGGAACCCAACTCAAACAATTACACCAACACCAACCTGGTCTCTTATTTCTTCACCCGCTTTCCTAATGAACAGCGCCTCCGACTCGAGCACCGGAAAATCAATCTCCTCAAACCCGTAGACTCGCGAAACCTATTAAACAACAGAAACCAGAGCTCAGAGACACAAAAGAACAACGAACCTTCCTAGAATTCAACCAAACAGGACAACAAACCTCCCTGAAATTATGGAATAGCCAGTTGCGGAGTCGCATATCTTCGGGTGGGAAATCTCGAGTTCCCTTAGGAGGGTTAACATCGATCTTCTGCAATTCTTCCGTGACCGGCGATGGAGAAAGCGCCCCCGACCTGCCGCCAGCGCTGCCGCTGTCGCCGAGAGACTGGGCGGAAGAGACGGCGCTGAGAGAAGAATGAAACGTGCGATTGGCGAAGAATGAGGGCTTCGGAAAGGGAAATCTGAGAGTGATAGTGAAAGCGAGGGATGAAGAAGAGAAAATGAAGGGCTTGAAATATAGATTGAGGCGGGATCGGAAGATAAGGAGAGACGCAGGCTTCGCAGCCATGGTTGCTGGCTGAGACTGGGGAACGCAACACTCACTCGCGAAAAATGTTAAAGGACGGTTTAATATTGGTTAAATCGTAAAGTTTAACAAAATGTCATTAATATAATATTAACTATTTTTAAGTAATTTAGAAGAAAATATTTATTTGTTAATTTAAATAATTTTAACCATTTTTAATTTTTCTAACATTTACAGAAATATTCATCGACATCGACATTTTATCGATATTTCCATGAAATTGAGACATCGATATTTAAAACCTTGAGTACAATACATTACGAGGGGATTCAAACAAAATTAAAATTAAAAGTTAGTAGATTGGCTATATATATATATGTATTTTGAATCAGAAGATTGGCTATATTTTCAAAACTAGTCATTAATAATCATCCATATTTTTAATTAAATTTTAACGTATGCTTCAGTACCATTGGTGAGAATTAAAAAAATTTCCATCGGCTGATTTAGAAAAAAAAAATATTATTATTGAGTATATACTGTAAAAACAATATCAGTCATACTCACAATTATTCTTTTACTTTTCAATTATGATAATAATAATGCTTTAAAACCTTACCATACTGAGAATTTAATTACTTTTTACCATATGTGTGGTATTCTTTTCTGAATAAAAAAAATGAAAAAAACCTCAATGCCATTAAAATAAAATGTATGATGAGATTTATTTATCATATCCAAAAATAATTTCATATTGAGATTAGGTTATGAAAACATAAAGAATAATAGAATTTTCAGTTGACACAAAATTGAAGTTATTAAGGTTACAACATAATAACTAAAATTGTAATTTAGCTAAACTTTTTAAAATACAGGATATGAAAATGAGTACAAAAATAATTTTGAGCAAGACAAAAATAGCTGCTTCTCCAAAATCCCCAAGTATCTCTATGCAAAAAAATAAAAACAAAAAACAAAAATAATATATAAGAAAAAAACATAGAAAATTTATTTTGACAATTTCTTTCAGTAAAACATAAATCAATTTCCCAAATCGCTATTTTATGCAGGAATAACCTTCTTCTTTCTCAAAAACTTTACTGAAAGAACTTGCAACAGCTCCTCTGACACGCCAACCAGCTTCAGTTCTTTCTTCATCTCATCCAATGGCAATTTCTCTATCTGTTCTTAAGACCAATAGCCAATGCGAAAATGAGAGAGAATAATAAGTAATTTGTAGCATTTAGACATGGTAGGAAACATTTTGAGCACAACAATATTCTTCCTAAAAATGGAATAACAGAGAAATAAATCAATACAGACAATGCAACAACACAAAAATATTGAAACTAAATTTATGAAACTTGAAATCATATATCACTTAACCTTTATCCAAGAGATGATGTGCAAACCTTGCCAAACACATGTTCAGGCAACATATAGATATAGCACTTCCATCAAAGGAAAAAATTGGGCAATTACACAATTCAACAATTAGTAACTCCTAAAGACAATAACTAAATGTATGGATCTATAGCACAAGATGCAGGAAGAACACAACTTTTCGGCTTGAAATTTTGAGTCCAACATCTGATGGCATAGTTTCAACGTGCCTGAAAAGGGCTAACGATATCCTTATAGAAGCTATTCTTCGACTTAGATTATGCAAAGAAATTAAAATATAGCAGCAATAATAGGAAGAACTTCTAGCAAGTTGAATAATAGAGCATCTAAAAGCATAGAGGCCATATTGAAGTTAAGACTAAGACATAATAACTAAAATTGTAATTTAAGCAAAATTTTCAAAGTACTAGAAAGAAATGCCAAATCCAAATTTAAATGCTAAAGTGGATCCTAACCTGACGATTTAAGCTTTGAAGATTCGCAATAATTTAATGCTAGAAAAATCCACATTTGAGTTCCTAAATGATATACTAAACAATGATTAAATAACATACATAATATAACATTTTTGTGTGATCAAGAGGAAACATTGCAAAAAACCTACCATATGGTCTCAGGACAAATGTGGAGAAAAACTCAAAACACTAGCCAAAGAAAAGAAGGGCACCGCCGCTCATCATGGTTCCTTAAATAGTCCCAAATAGGCCAACTTCATGATACATAGCAGACATTGAGAAGGGGACGAAAATATTTGTACAAACAGTCCCTTAAGCAAGAAATCCAGGTTTTCTTTCCCGATTCTTGGGACCTAACGAGTTATGAATCGATAATTATCATCTGCAGGGTATAAAGTATTGAAGATATTTTACTTGATTGGCGCATGCTGGAAATGACAAAGAACCAACAACATTGACCACTTGAAAGTCAAAATGATGTTCAGTGGGGAAAAAAGGGGATATTCGCTATAACTCAGTTAACCCAAGGTGAAGAAGTATAGCCAGTTTCAAGAGGGGTACAAATTTTATAAACTATTTTGAATTTAACTCTATACACGTTCTTTGCCACTAATGCAGGGAAATAATGTCTTGGCAACAAGGTTCTTTGAAGTACCTGTCAATGGCTCCTCTGCTATAGCACAAAATTTTCTTCCAACACGTAGGCACTGTTAGAATGTGGTTAAGTTGAACTGATCAGACACAATGTAAGAGGTACAAAAAAGTGAATAACGTAATCCTCGTTAAGATTTTCATAGAACAAATGACGTTTAGACCTTCCTGCAAAAGAAAAAACAATCGAAATCACTTGCTGGTTTTAGTAGTAATGAATGGCCAAATTAAAATTATGAATGAATTATAGAACTAATTGCCTCTCCGCACTCTGCCTCCGCCACCACATGCTTCCCACTTATCTGAATAGACTGAATTCAATTGGCAAGATATTTCCAGTCCCATCTAAGAAAACATAGATAATTAATTTGCGGCACGCAGGGGCAGAAAGACATTCAGAATTTGGATCGAGGATGGACGGAATTGTACCTCGGAATGTGGAAGATCCGGTGGAACGCCGAACAGAGATAAAGCGTATGGCGGTGATTGAAGAAATGAGTATCAGAGAGTTATGGCCCGATTGTGCGATAGATCGAGAAATTATCGATGATACGCCCCATCCGAGCGGCGATCACAAATGGAAAATGAACAACAACGTTAAATTTAGAAGACAGTTACTATTACGCTTCAAATTGAAAGAAATAATGAATTTCAATCATTTACCAGATTAGGGTTTCGATCGAGTCCAGCATTAACACAGACATAATTTAACCTTTGAATCCTCTTGAAACTGCGAGAAGATGATGATGACGATGAATTAAAAACAGTGGTTCATCGAGGGAATAGGSTTAGTCGTGGATCGAGGGATTAGGGTTAGGGTTTTTCGTTTTGCATTTCGATGTTACATTCGTGGAGTAATTTAGTTTGAAGTTTAACCGAAGAAGAAGACTGGATCATAATAATATTTGCTAGAATACCATATGAAGCTCAAAAGTCGCGAAAACCATTCTGTGTAGTACGAATCTCAACTTGAAGATGAGTTTCTGAATTTTGTCTCCCGCGACGGGAGCCTATTTATAGCCATTCCCGAGCCC